TATGAGTGAATGTTGAGCAATAGGACCTTTTGGTAACCAACTGACAATTTAAAGACGTTAGGAAGGAGCGTGAGATGTGACCTGCTTGTAATCTGCTGCCACACAAACCAGCCACAATTCACTTATTCTACTAGATCTTTCTCCAAAAGGTAGTGAGTTTGAGATTCAATGAGCTTTAGCATTCTGTAGAACAGTAGTTACGGCATGCTTGAATCCCAAGAGTGTATTCTATTCCATAAGTTTTTAGCTTGAACAGGGGAACACTGATATTCGCATATTGCAAAGCGTAGGGCACGACCAAAGTTAAACTATGTACTAGCACGAAACAACTCAAGAAACATCGTTATTGAAGAGATAATAAGTTACTCGAAAACGGTGGTCTACGGAGCGCGTTGTTATCAGCGCTGATTAGGTGATTCGGGTCTCGTGAGATCATTCGCGCTCGCTGTAACCTTTGCAAGATAAAAAAGTGTAAAAGTTGTATCTGCTTCCGCGTGATACAATAGGCAGCATTGTCGCTCGAAAGTATAAGAATGAAGGGAAGTGTGAAAAGTGAGGGAATGCAAAATGGTGAAGAGTCGAAAATCTAGCTTCTGCAAACAGGTCGAACAAAACACGTGGAGACCTACTCCTTCCCATAGTCTTCGTTCGACGACGAGGGTACCAAAAATGATGAGTGATCAGATTAGGCTGGTACTGTGACTGCATTGTTGCTATACGAGAGCTGCACTGGAATCTCTAAACTAAACCAACCAGAGGTATGCATCGCCTCAACTCTTTTACAACCTCTGTAAGTTGTTTTGAGCGACACTAATCCTTCTTAAACCTTTGACACAGGATTGTAACCTCAGTACAATACCCACCTGATTGTTCGAAAAATAAAACAAAAATTTCTAGTCTGCGTCTTTCTTGTTTTTCCACTAGAACTCAATTTCTCTTCGCCTTACTTATAGAGAGCCCTATTCCGTTGTATTCAGCTCGTCGAGCTCCACAAGGTGCTTCCTTTGGAAATCTATGAAGCCCCAGTTTTAGTGACTTCGTTCCAACAAAGTACTTGAGGGGCTCGTTAGTAGCTGATAACGGTAGTCAGCGCGCGGCAAGTCGACGCCGAGGTAGATCGAAATCTACAGTCCGTCATCCCGGGACTTGAATAGGGCGGCAAAGGTCGCGACGCGGCGGATTTCGGCAGCCGTACTTTTGCACTTTAGCTATTTTCTCTCTAATTTTCACTGTACTTTTTATTTTTTTTTGTTAGTTGTTTCATTGCCTTTATGAAGTGCATTAGAGCGTGAAGTCTTTTTTTTGTTTCTGTAATAGAGTGTTTTTACAATCTTTTTAGGTATCCGTTTAATTGTTTGTTTAATTGTTCGCAGAATTTAGAGTAGTCTTAATCATAATTTGCCTTGTGAAAACAAGGAACAACTAACCTCAAGAAAAGCAGCCAAAAACAGCGTAAATTAGGGAGAAAATGGCTAAAATAGGCTGGAGACAGCTCACCGCGTCGTGACCCTTACCGCCCTAATCAAATCCCCGGATGACGACTGTAAATCCGTCGCAGGCGCTTGAAAAGCACCAACAGCTGAAACCTTGCGCTTATACTTTGCTCTTTGTCTGTGTGAAAGAAGACAATTCGAGGTAGAAATGGCTATTCAGACTCACTAAACTAAACCCTGAAGACAATCCCCGCACTCAGAAGCCCTTGTACAAGTAGTCCGACCTGCAGTTATTGAGACCTTCGCGGCTTCACAAGATGTAACGAAGCCCCTCTTGAGTGGTAGTTCCGAAGCCGTCCGAGTTACCACCCCAACAAAAACTATTTTCTAGTCTATTTTTTGTCTATTTGGTCTATTTTATTTCATTCTATTCAATCTATTTTTTGCCATAAGTTCAGTTTTTACACTGTGTCTTAGTTTTTTTTTTTGTTAGATGGTATATCATTGGATGCTGTGAAAAAACGAGTAGTGCGCAAGAGACGTCAGGATATCGCTTTACTATCATAAACGAGCAGGTCCGGAC